CGTACCCTATTTGCACGAAATGTTACCCTATATCACTTTCCATAGATATTTTCATAGAGTAGATAGAGTATTTTGGAAAAAAACAGCTTAACCTATGCAAACAGTAGTTTTTCGGCTCTCATACACACGAAATCACAGTCCTTAGAAAGCAGAAGCATACCATTAATTTCCAGTGCGTGCTCTGAGTCTGCCCCGACAAGATGTGCACAGACTGGGATTATACACTTTGCTAATATATCTATTTCTTCATGTTTCCATAGAAAGGTTTTCAGGTGCACCTACTACATGAAACAGGCTGTAAATATTACACACAGCAGCAATAAGAATAAGCCCCTTAAAAGCGAACTGAAAATTAACAAAAAATAACAGAAAGTATATATGCAGACAGTCGTCTGAATGTGCTTAAGACCAATGGCTGAAAACAGCTAAACCGAACAACACCAGAACAATAAATTTGTCTTACATTAATCCGAGTTTGGCGGCCTCGTTCAATTAATCTTTTTTCAGTCACTAGCGCACCGAAAATCTCAGAATGTCCTTTCACGATAGGTGTTTTGATGCTAACAACAATTTTTCCGACTTCGAACTGTCTCACTTTATGTTTATAAATATTGAGGCGGTGTCTTAATTGCGAACTTAGGGTTTTTGTCTTTGCTGCTTTTACACAATTTCGCTGTATGCTCACAATCAGTAAGCTAGGTTTACCAGTTGAAACTGCGCAAACGCACCTTAGAATATGCGGCTTGCATAAAGGAACAAGTAAAATGATGGCAGCTTCGGGCCAGCAAAGCAATTACAGGTATACAATCTACAAAGTGTAGATCGATATTGTTAACCGGATTACATCGTAGATGGAGCTAAGGAAAAATTCAGAAAACGGTTGGTACAAGAATTCCATTATGCATATAGTTAACTTTTAGTAGGGGTTTTCGGCAGACTGTAATAATTCATTTGACCCGCTTGTGAAAAACCTGGCGGCCTCGTTGCGATTCTAAGCCACGCCAGTACACGCTTTAGTACAACCAACGCTTTAACCCCCTAAGCTACGAGTCCCCTAACAATTGTAACTAAACTCCCGGCTCCCGGTGGGAACTCGTGGCCCAGTTGGCCAGACCGTTGGCTGCTTTAAGTCTAATCCTTGTCGGCATGAGTTCGAATCCCACCGAAGCCGCCGAGTTTTTCACACGTAGATCAAATGATTTTACTTTTTCCAAGCAAAGATAACCCCCTAAGCAGGGGGTTACTGGTTTCAATGAAAACACCCGTGTTTACTGTTATTAAGTGTTATTATCGTTGTCATAGGACGTATGGTCCATCTCAACACAAAT